TCTACCAAGAAAGATCTGCTTCTGTTCTGCAGACCTACAGACAGGGAGTGCCTGAAGCACTGAGAAGCTGGGATTTGCCTAGGGTCTCATAGCCCATTTCAAAGGTGGCACTTGAACCCAGGTCTTCTTAACTCCAAAGTGGGCTCTCTCCATTATGCCAGACCACTTCTTCCTTGTGTCTTCCTGGATCACTTTGTATAGATCTGTATTTTGTACCTGCCATATTATGAATATGTACAGGCTATATCTCCCTAGTAAAATATAAATGAGGGTGTGTTGGTAAATGTTTAACAACCAGCTCTTCAAAAAACAAAAAGTGCCTAGGACACTTTGAAGTTTAATCTGCATGATATGCCCTAATATATGCCAGGCACTGAGCTAGGCATACAAATAAAAAGAAACACTAAGGAAACAATCCATACTGGAAAGAAACTTATGTTCTAAAGCAGAGTCCCTTCCCTCAAGGAACTTATGCTTTATAGGGGAAGAGAATTTGCACATGTAAGTATGTACAAAATAAAGACAATTTATTTGAGGGAAGGCAGGCACTAACATTTTGGAGATGAGGAAAGGCTTCATTGTAGAAGGTAGTATATAAACTGAGTCATGAAAGAAATGGATTCTTTGAAGAGGGAGAACATTCTAGTGCAAAGGCAGGAAATGAAGTCCATGTGGGATGAATGACAAGAAGGCCAATTTGGATAGACCATAGATTGTGGAAATAGAAGTAATACATAATGAGGTTGAAAAGGTAGCTTTAGACCAGGTTATAACAGGCTCTGAAAGTTAAACAAAAGAGTTTATAGTTGGTCAATCAATTAACATGCATTAATACTGTCTGTTTATGCACAGTCTAGGCCAGGGATGGGGACCCTGCAGCCTGAGGGCCACTTGTGGCCCTCTAGGTCCGCAAGTGCAACCTTTTGACTGAATCTAAGTTTCACAGAACAAATCCCTTTAATAAAAGAATTTGTTATGTAAAACTTGGTCTCAGTCAAAAGTCCTTACCCAAGGACCTAGTAGGGTCCTGGGTGCTTCTTAGACTCTAGGCACTGTGCTAATTGCTGGGGATACAAAGAAAAACTGAAAATGAAGTAGTCTTTCTCCTCAAGGAACTTACAGTCTAACTGGAGAGACAACATGCACATAAAGAGGTATGTAGAGGGGGCAGCTAGGTGGTGCAATGGATAGAGCACCTGCCCTGGAGTCAGGAGGACCTGAGTTCAAATGTGACCTCAGACACATAACACTTACTAGCTGTGTGACTTTGGACAAGTCACTTAACCCCAATTGCCTCACCCCCCCCCAAAAAAAGGGATATGTAGAGGCAATAGGGAGCCACAAGAGTTTATGTGTAGGGCAGTGATATAGTCAGATATGTGTGATTAAGGAAAGCCACATATAGGATGATATAGGATCAGCAGCGATGGAAGGATTATGTTCTGCATTGTTAAAAGAAATAAACAGTCATGCCAATATGATCAGAGGTCCATTGGAATGTCTCTCTAGTATTAAACACAGGGGCAGATAGCAGAATGGATGAAAAAACAGTTGGACTGAGACACAGTCGGAACAGAAATACACACACAGAGTTTAAAAAAAAGGGTTGGAGCAGAATCCATTACGCTTTAACTGAAGTAAAAAAGGCAGAGGTAGTAATCATGATCTCAGACAAAGCAAAAGCAAAAAGAGACCTAATTAAAAGAGCTAATGAGAGAAAATACATTTTGCTAAAAGGTACCATAGACACATCACACCTATCAGATTGGCAAACATGACAAACAGGAAAGTGATAAATGTTGGAGAAGATGTGGAAAAATTGGAACATTAATGCATTGTTGGGGGAGTTGTGAAATGATCCAACCATTTTGGAGAGCAATTTGGAACTATGCCCAAAGGGCTATAAAAATTTGCATACCTTTGACCCAGCAATAGCACTTATAGGGCTGTATCCCAAAGAGATTATAAAAATGGGAAAAGGACTCGCATGTACCAAAATATAGCAGCTCTTTCTGTGGTAGCAAAGAATTGGAAATGAAGGGGATGCCCATCAATTGGGGAATGGCTGAACAAGTTGTGGTATATGAATGTGATGGAATGCTATTGTGCTATAAGAAATGATGAGCAGATGGACTTCAGAAAAACCTGGAAAGACTTGTATGGACTGATGCTGAGTGAAGTGAGCAGAACCAGGAGAACATTTACACAGTAATAGCCACGTTGTACAATAACTAACTTTGATAGACTCGGCTCTTCTTAGCAATGCAAGGATCTAAGACATCTCCAAAAGTCTCACGATGGAAAATGCTATCCATATCCAGAGAAAGAACTATGGAGTTGGAATGCAGATCAAAGTATACTATTTGCTCTTTTTGTTTTCTCTTCTGTTTTGTTTTGTTTCTTCTTTTATTTAGTTCCTTTTATTGGTTCTAAGTCTTCTTTGTGAAGATGACTAATGTGAAAATGTTTAATAAGAATGTATGTGTAGAGCCTATATCAAATTGCATGCCGTCTTGGGAAGGGAGGTGAGGATAGAAGGGGAGAAACTCAAAAGCTTATGGAAATGATTGTTGAAAACTAAAAATAAATTAATTTTTTTAAAAAAATGTACCACATATTAAAAATTTTTACATCGAGTTTTTTTCTGGTCTCATTTTCAAATATACAGGAAAATGAGTCAAATTTATAAAAATAAAAGTCATTCCCCAAATTGATAAATGGTCAAAGGATTTGAAAAGCAGTTTTGAGAAGAAGTCAAAGCTATCTATAGTTATATGAAAAAAAAAATGCCTAAATCACTATTGATTAGAGAAAGGCAAATTAAAACAATTCTGATCATACCCATCAGAAATGACAAATGCTGGAGAGGGAATTGGGGAGAATAGGTACACCAATACACTGTTGGTAGAGTTGTGAACTGGTCTAAACATTCTGGAGAACAATTTGGAACTAGGCCCAAAGGGCTGTAAAGTTGTGCATTCTCTTCAATCTAACAATACCACTACTAGGTCTTACTCCAAAGAGATCAAAGGAAAAGGAAAAGGACATATACATATAAAAATATTTATCACAGCTCTTTTTATAGTGGCAAAGAATTGAAAATTGAGGGGATGCCCATCAATTGGGGAGTGACTGAACAAGTTGTGGCATATGATTGTGATAGAATACTACTGTGCTATAAGAAATGATGACAGGGGGGCAGGTAGGTGGCAGAGTGGATAGGGCTCCAGCCATGGAGTCAGGAGGACCTGAGTTCAAATCCAGCCTCACACACTTGACACTGACTAGCTGTGTGCCCCAGGGCAAGTCACTTAACCCCAATTGCCTCACCAAAAAGCAAAAAAATGAAATGACGAGAAGGGTGGTTTCAGAAAAAAAAAAAACAAGGCAAGATCTATATGAAATGATATAAAGTGAAGTGAGAAGAACCAGGAGATCATTGTGCACAGTAACAGCAATGTGGTAATGATGATTGACTGTGAAAGACTTGGCTACTCTATTCAATACAATGATCCAAGACAATTCCAAAGGACTTGAGTTGAAAAAAATACTATCTACCCAGAAAGAAAACTAATGAACCCTGAGAACAAATTGAAGTATAATTTTCTAACTTTATTTTTTTTGCTTTTTTTGAAAAATGGCTAATATGGAAATATGTTTTGCATGATTTCACATGTATAATTGATATTATTTGCTTGCCTTCTCAGTGGGTAAAGGAGGAGTAGAAGGGAGGGAGGAGCTGAGTTCAAATCCAGCCTCAGACCAAACACTTGACACTTACTAGCTGTGTGACCCTGGGCAAGTCACTTAACCCCAATTGCCTAAAAATTAAAAAAACAAAAGCAAAAACCAGAGAGAGAGAGAGAAACAGGAAAGCTTATAAGAGAAGGTTTGGGGACAAAGGTAATGAGTTCAGTTTTAGATATGTTGATTTTAAGATTCCTCTTAGACATCCATCCTGTTGGAAATATCCAGTTGTCCAAAGATACCACTGCTAGGCCTTTTAGCATTTATATAATGTTTTGTAAAGCAAAGTACTTTAAAAATAATATCTGACTTCATATTGTTTCTTAGAAACAATGACAACAATAACTAGCACTGATATTGGGCTTTATGATTTTTAAAGCACTTTATGTATGTTATCTTATTTGATCTTCACAACAACCCTTCAAGGCAGGGGTTGTTATCTCCATTTTACAGATGAGGAAACTAAGGCAGGCAGAAATTAAATGGCTTGCCAAGGGTCACACAGCTAGTAAGTGTCTGAAGTCAGATTGAAACTCAGGTAGGTCTTCCTGAGTATCTACTATACCACCTACATAATATAGTCATTTTTGTTCCATAATAAACCTGGGTCCTAAAATCACCTTTTGATATATGAGGTGGATGAGGATCAAGGAGGCTTATCCCATGATCCTACTACTAATAAATGTCAGAGACAAGATTTGAACCTAAATCTCCAGCGATTGGGCTAATTTGGCTGGAGTGGAGTTTTTTTGTGTACAAGTGTTGAGTAAGAAATTTGAGTGATGGTTCTGAGCTATATCAAAGAGGGCCTTAAATGTTGGTTAAGGTGTTATGTACCATTATTTTCCCTTTATTTTATTTTCTTTCAGAGGCAGCTAGGAGTGAATAAAGCTTCCTGTCTGGGGGACAGGAAGACCTGAGTTCAAATCCAGACTCAGATACTTGCTAGCTATGTGACCCTGGGCAAGTCCCTTAACCTCTGTTTGCCTCAGTTTCCTCAACTGTAAAATGGGAATAATAATAGCACCTAACTCACAGGGTTGTCTTCTGGATCAAATGAGATAATATCTTTAAAGAGCTTAGCACAGTGCCTAGCACATAGTAGGTGTTATATAAATACTTATTCCCTTCTTTTCCCCCTTGTTGTTTTATTCCATTCTACAGTGTTGCTAAGTGATCGACATAGAATTCTTGACTATTAACTGGCTTTACTGCTACATGTGGTATATGTGAAACTAATCAGCTACTGCCCAATGGCTAAGCAACAAAATATTTACAAACGATGTATGACAGTGGTAATTCACATATTCACGAGGATATTTTCTGTCTTTAAAAACCTTTGCTTCAGAGAGACGAAAGAAAAGAAAATTAATGGACTTGAAAACATTTTTCACAAAGAAAAAATCATAGTATTCGGCTATCAGGTGAAGAATAAGACTTTGTCCCTTGAGAGGAGAGCGCAAGCTGCCTATAAATTGGGTCTGTTGGCTTTCACAGGTACTGACTAAAAATCTTATTCTGACAGACGTGCTCTCATTTTTCTTTACCAACATATCCTAGCAGACATGGTCAAATGGATCTGAAAATCTTTTGTCAAATACAGTATAACATGAGGCTGTCTTAAAGTTAGTTTTAAGATCCATGGCGTGTGATATAAATTGTTAATTGACCACATGATGTTACAAAGGTGTCATGACTTTAAAGTGGGGTTTGGTTATATTGTAATAATGATTCTGATTATACAGTTATCCCTTCCACATCATGACTTTCCCCATTGAGGTTCTGATATTATCATGGGTCAGCATAATAAATTAAATGGGAATTTTGGAGGAGTTTTGCAGAAGCCACAGACGAAACTGGAAGACCAGCAGACAACACAGAAAAAGGTTAGAAACTCAGACAAGCACAAAACATATGTATAGTATTGTATAATATCAATGTTATCTTTTAATACCATAAATATACAATTTCTTCTTCTCTGGTATGAAGGAAGGGCCAAAAAAAATTTTACATGGATTTTCCAGATCGCAGGGGCACCACCCCCTAACTTCCATGATGTGGAATGGATCTATAATGATTAATGACTCTATTACTAAAGGATATTAGTTGGGACAATGTTATTTGGTACTGGACATTCATGCATCATAGCCCTATGTTTAAAGTTCTATGAAACAATGTAACTTTTTTACCTTAAAAAAAAACCTTAATGGTACAATATATTGAAAATAATCTTTCAGTAAGACCATGGTGTCATCTTAAATTCCAACCCATGAAATTCAATATATTATTCTGCAAAAGTATAATTTCACTGTAAGTAGGTATTTTATAAATTGTCAATTCTTGACTTAGCTAGTTCCAAGGCAGCAGGTAATAGGACAGCGAAGATGATGAATGACTGTTTGGAAACCTAGCAACTCTGAGGAGAAGAATGGGGGAGAATATTTGTGTGCTAGTCAAAGGAGGGGGAAATAGGGGCAATATCATGAGTATATTATAGGCCTTCTGGCCAGAAGGAGAGAAAATGAATGATTTCTTGACACATACCATAAAGCTAACTTGCAGGAAAGATATAATTGAAATGTAAGACATTGGTAGGAGGGCTCTTTCCACCCAAACCAAAAAAAACCGATACTTTTTTAAACTTCTCTTGCTAACAATTTTATCTTTCAGAAGGTAGAAGAAATGATAAAGGGTGAGGGGATGATTTATTCTGGACCTCATTCTGACCATTAACAAAGAACCAATTGACAAAGTAGAAATGATGAAAATTTTGGGAAGGGTATCTTAATGTAATGCTTTTTGCATTCAACTTGGGAATTACATATTACTTGGGTTCACTGTAGTGGTAATATACAACTAAGCAACCCCAACTAGTGCCTATTCTACTAACAGACCACACAAGATATAAAACAAATAGCATTTAATTAAGATATAACGAGAAATTAAACAATAGGGAAAAGTCAAGGACTAAAATCATTCTCAGCTTCCCATATACAAATGAATACAAATTCTAACAGGTTTACTTGATGATAGAGAAAGGTTTAGGAACTCATTGCTAAAGAAATGCCCAAGAAAACTCTTATTCTAAGGTGAGAAAGGTTTCAAGCTTCACTCAAGATTTCTGCTGTACCCCATCTTCCATAAGCTGACTAAGTTTTGTTGCTTTATAGAGAATAGAGAAGTTTTGAATGCTGTGGATAAGTTCTCTTACCTTGGCAGTATACTCTCCAAGGCTGTACCTATTGATAATGAGGTTGACACATGCATTGCCAGAGCTAGCTCAGAGTTTGGGAGATTCCCAAGGAAAGTGTGGGAGAGAAGAGGTATTAGACTGACTGCCAAACTGAAGGTCTACAGAGTTGTTGTGCTGACTTTGCTGTTATATGCCCATGAAACCTGGACAATATACCAGTGCCATGGCAGAAAACTGAATCATGAACATTTGAATTGTCTTAGGAAGATTCTGAAGATCATCTGGCAGGATAACATGCCAGACACTCAGGTCCTTTCTTGAACTAAACTGTCAGTCATTCAAACTCTACTGCAGAGAACCCAACTCTGATGGGCTGGCCACATTGTTTGAATACCAAGTGTATGCTTGCCTAAAAGAGTATTTTATGGAGAACTCACACAAAGCAAACACTCACATGGTGGCCAGAAGAAGCAATACAAGGACACTCTCAAGGTCTCTCTTAAGAACTTTGGGATTGATTTGTGACATGGGAAACAAAGGCACAGGACTGCCCAGCATGGCATGCCCTCATCAGAGAAGGTTCTGTGCTATATGAGCAAAGCAGAATTGAAGTAGTTCAAAAGAAACTTGAAAGGCACAAAGTTAGAGAATCCACCCCAAATGTTCACATGGACTATTTGTACCTGACCTGTGGTAGAGCATTCTGAGTTCATATTGGTCTGATCAGCCATAGTCAGACCTACTTTAATTTGACTCTAACAAAGTGATGTCATTTGGTCCTCTTCAAGAACGAAAGACAACAAACATGTTTTGCTGCTTCTTAGCTCCACTTCCTGCAGTTCTTCAAGGTAGACCAGACCCTTTCTTGCTGCTCCATATTCTGATGAAATTTGGAGATTCTGCCACTCAGCTACAGCATTCAGCCTCTATAGCTGCCATCCACTAAAATTCTGCTGCTACTGATTCCAGTATTCTCCTTAGCGGCCATCCACTCCAGTTCCACCCTCCATCTCTACAGCTGTCAATGTTGAAATAGTTGCTCACTACTGCTATTATTGCTTCAATAGGAAGGTGTCATTTTTTTTTATATGAATCAGGTCAACGTGCCTGGGGGTTAGTCAACACATTTAGTATCATATGTTCAGAATTAGATATGGCCTTAGAGGTCATCAGGCCCAGCACCCTTATTTTTAGGTGATAAAACTAAGGCCCAGCGAGTTTAAGTGGGTTGGCTAAGGTCACCCAGGTTTAAGTGACAGAATAGGTAAGAAGCCTAATCCTCTTACTCTAAATTCAGCACTCTTAAGCTCTTCTATCAACATCATCATCAACATCATTGTTATTATTATCAATAATAATAATAACTACCATTTTAATAGTACCTACTATGTGCCAAGCACTGTGCTAAGTGCTTTACAAATATTATCTCATTTTATTCTCATGCCTGTGGGAGGTAGATGCTATTAGTATCCCCATTTTACAGTTAGGGAAACTAAAGCAAATAGAGGTTAAGTAATTTGCCCAAGGTTGCACAGGTAATAAATGTTATCAATCATACTTGCAACCCCACCTAGCTGACACATTAGATTGTACCCTTGAGAGTAAGAATTGTCTTTTTTTTTTTTAAATTGAAACCCCCAGCACACTGTTTAGCACATAGTAGATGCTTGATAAATGCTTATTGACTCTTGCCACACAAAGGACTAATCAGACTATGGTCAAATCTTGATGATTTCCCCCAAGTGAATTTCTTTCACATTTTCCTTGTCCTAGTTCATTGTGATCCATGCCTCCTACCAAGTCTTTCTGAGGTTGGGGATAATTATATGTATTGCTACTCATTTACCCTTTCAATTCCAATTATCCTCTAGCCCCTTGCTCTAGTAGCTATGCATTTTATCTTGAATTTTTAACATGCCTTAAAAAGGCACTAGAAATCCCGGAAAGGAAGAGCACAAGTAAGTAGCCTCTGCTAGTATTCCTGCCATTACAACAAAACTCTTATAAGTGAGATGAGATGAGATGAGATGAGATAAGATGAGATGGGATGAGACAGGAATGACATGATCTGATCAATATCCTCTAGAATTTAAGAGAACAAATTTCAAAGATTTCAGAAAAAGGACAAGTAGGATCCAGTGACTTGAGATTCTACAACAGCAGGATGGAAGGCTCCCAAGAATGATATTGTTGCTAGACAGTTGAATTCTGATAAGGAAGAAATATGCTTATTGATTGATTGATATGGCTGCACAAGGAAATCATTGATAAACTTAAAATGATTAAAAGACATGGACAGAAGATGAAACCATGAATAAGGATATATTCATCTGAGGATTAATACTAAAACAAAGGAGGTCAATCCTATGAAAATATCATTTTTTAAAAAAGGCTGAGAGACAGAATGAGATTAAACTTGTGATGAATGCTGAGAAAATATAAAAGGGCTTTTAAAGCTCAGTTGTAAGCAAGAGGAAAATCAAAGAAGTGGATAGAATCAGTGATTGGAGTGGCTAGAATCTTGGTAAATGACCATGGAGATTAGGTGGAACTACTTAAATTGTATTTGCTTTCAATTTTTCTACAAGCAAAAATGATCTTCAGAATGGGAAGATGAATATGGTTAAAAATGAGTATACATAAAGAGATAGAAAAGAAGCACCTGGATACCTTAATGAGTACATATCATTACGCCTGGAAGGATGATGAAAATGTATGGATATGATTGTTTACTTACTGTTATTGATCTCTGAAAAATCATGGAGAATGATAAATAAGCTGTGGGACTGGATAAGGATAAATGTCGAAATTTTTAAAAGGGGAATAAGGTAGAGTCTTCTAAATGAAGTTAAAAGGATCCTACAGAACAGTATTTTTTACTTCATTATCCAGCAAAATCCTAGAAAGTTTTATTTATTTGTTTGTTTGTTTGTTTTTCAGAGGGGTTCTATATACATCTTGTTTGATGGCCACAGCAACCCTGGGAGATAGGTGGTTGCTTGATTATTATCCTTCATTCTCAAAGAGGACCAAAGTGACATCACTTTGTTAGAGTCAAATTAAAGTAGGTCTGACTATGGCTGATCAGACCAATATGAACTCAGAATGCTCAACTACAAGTCAGGTACAAATAGTCCATGTGAACATTTGGGGTGGATTCTCTAACTTTGTGCCTTTCAAGTTTCTTTTGAACTACTTCAATTCTGCTTTGCTCATATAGCACAGAACCTTCTCTGATGAGGGCATGCCATGCTGGGCAGTCCTGTGCCATTGTCTCCCATGTCACAAATCAATCCCAAAGTTC